TTAGTACGAAAAATAGATTGTTAAGAAGATTTGTGTGTCTCTCTTTTGTAAGCCAAAGTACAGATATAACAGCTAAGCATAATGTATTTTAACTATTTCATTAACCAAATCCAAAGTACTTAGAAATAAACAAATCCAAAAAATTACTTGAAACAAAGAATCTCCGCCGACAGTTTGGTGAAAGGTGAAGAGAAGTCAGCTTTAGTTGAAAGTCTCTCGAGCAATCAGAGGTTTAGCTTTGGGGCCCACTAATTTACACGAGTCCGTGGCACGTGTCTGTGGATCTTGTCAACCCCTGGTCGCAGACTTCGAAATACCCGCAAGGCGACCCACACGTGCGGTTGCAAAACGCAAATTTCTCCGATGCCAGAACTCACCACCTAAGCTGTTGCTCGGCAAAATTAATTTTCAATATAAAAAATAACACAATTTTCAAGAATCACTTGTTTTAATAAAAATATTATTCGTTATTTATAATCAAAACTAGAAAACGATATTTATAATGATGAATGAAGTACATAAATGTAAAGTCGGATCGATGATATGTATGTAATCTAGATATCCAATTGGCATTTCTGTTTTGTTTTGGACAAATTTCATTTTTTGTATGGTTAATAATTTACATTTCCATTTAGAATTTGTTCCGAATTTCATTTTTTTTTATCCGAATTTCATTTATAACAAATAACATATCCATTTCACTTTGCAAATCGTTTTTCTTCGAAGTAATTTTAGTTGAACTAGTTTGGTAATTGGAATTGAATGCATATGTTCTCATATGAAAAAACAAAATATATATATATACAGTGAACTATAGATTTTATCAAAACAAGAAAGATGCAAGTGATCACAATATTGTGGTCATAATTTTCTAACATTCCACCGTCTAAATAGGTTAAAATATATACTTGTAACTATTGCCTTGAGACATATCAACTTATCAAGTACTGTCGACTTTATGAAAATACCTAGTTTATGTAGTGATGTAGAAACTATATACGTCA